TGTTTTCATTACCGATTCTCGTTTGCGACTTCGCTTCAGCCGCTATAGTTTCAATATGGCGCTCCTGCCTATTATGCACAAACGGTGCGGGATTATCTAAACGAGGTGTTCGGTCACCGGTGGATCGGTCGCGGAGGTTCAAAGGATTGGCCTGCCTGGTCACCAGATTTGAACCTCTTACATTTCTTCCTATGGGGTTATTTGAAAAGAACAGTTTACGAGACAACGCCTATTTCACTTTAACAACTGAAAGGCAGTATTGTCAATGAATGTCGCGCCATCAAGACGGAAGCATCGCAAAAAGGTTGTAGGCTATTGCCTCAGGAGATTTTCGCACTACAAGCAGGACGCCGGCTGGCACCTTAAGCATCTTCTTCGTTGACGGACATAGCACCGTTTTATGCTGTTTATGCTAATATACGTATTCACCATTATCACTGATTTCTGGACTATATTGGTGCACGGGCAAATGGCACCAAAAGTGCGTCGGGCCATAATGCATTCAACGAGCAAGGCTGATTCGACAACGCTTAGACTGATCACTTCTATGCAACTTAGTTCCCAATGCCAATACTTGTTTTGCATGGTTATTCCTAAGGAATACGGGGGTGGATGTGAACGAGATGGTGATGTGAGTATAGGCTAAGTGGTTTCGCATTTTTATCATAGTTATCGGCCTAGAGACGCCGGCGTGGGATGAGTGTTTCTAAACAATGACAAACCAGGCACATAAAGGGGAAGGATGGTCCACGGATTTTTCAGTGAGAGTAAACCATGAAAGGGTGGCTTATCGATCTTTTGGTTTTTGATAATCGGAGTTCGCAGAAATATTTGTCAGAGAAGTTACCACAGGGATAACTGGCTTTTGGTGGACAGTATGCGTGAGAACCCACATGCGTGTGCTTTAGTCCCACAATTTGTCAATCATTTGTGCGGGGCAATGAGCGCACGAGGATTAGGTATCGCTTAGAAATGCAGCTTCTCAGTCCCATGCTAATGGAATATTGTCTCATCAATGAATATGTTGGAATGAACGCTCAAGACTGTGACGGGAGAATAGGCTATGCGGTAACGAGTAGTCTTTAGGAGGCATAGCTTTTCAAGGTTCCTCTCTCCAAACGATACATTTCATATTTGCAAGGCCTAATTATAGGGCATGCTTGTTTTGCTAAGGTGGGTTGTTAGAAGCTAACTCAGTCTACAAGAGCGTTTCCAATAACCCTTTTGTCTTTAACTGGAATAACACTAAGCACCTATTGAACACTCCTTGCTCAGGTCAGTTAGGCCTGTCCAAGCGCCACCACATTTCTATTGCAGTAGCCCGGTAATGATGCACTGCTGTCTTGATTTCGTACGCCTGTATTCGCTCCAACCAGCCAGAAACACGGTGTCTATCGATCGGTGAACTTACTCTGTGGCGTTCCGGAGCTGGCTTCAACTCAACCATCAGTATCCATCCAGCGTTTTCACGATGGACGAGACTGGCAAGTACACCTGTACCCAGATGCATGCATACGACCATCACTCCGGTCGTTCACACTCATGTGACCGGGTAAGAGACATTTTAAGACAGATCAACATCTACTATTGGACAGTTGGCAATTTAGTGCGCTCTCCTCTCACCCGAAGGCGTGACCCTTGGTCCCCGAGTAACAACGTAAAATGGGACAAGGCTTCTGTTACTTGTTGTACTTAAACCCCGCATTCCTGTTCGGCCCATTGCGGATGGCATTGTTTTTCCGGCCTACGTACTAGCCAGTTATTTGGCAGGTTTGTTGAATCACCTATCGGGATGAACTAGGATGATTATAACATAATTATGATTTTGCGCAGTGGTTGCAGGTTTGGATATTGTGGTAGATGAAATAATGTGTGGAGTCGACGTTAGTGCACTGTTTTCGAACGTCCCAAAGGGTGACCCATTTGTGTTAGTACAACGCTGTCTTCCTGGGGCAATAGCCTGATGGAAGGAGCGATTCTCACAAGAGGCGAACCAATAGAAGGATTGAATATATGCCTTGGTAGGTCATGTTTCACTTTCCAGTCGGGGCTGTATGTTCAGGAAGAGGGCCTTGCCGTGGGGTCGTTAATATCCCCCGCACTTGCAAATCTATGCATTTAAGACTTTGAAGCGAAGGCATTGACAAGCTGCATTAGCTCGCCAAAAATTTGGTGACGCTACCTAAATGATACTCAAGTTATCATTAAGCGGGTTAAAAAATAGTAGTTTACAAACTATCTGAACTCCATCAATGAGAACATAAAATGTACGATGACACTAGAATCTTGCGGCCTTACACTGCCATTTCTTGATTGTTTAGTTCACGGGAACGGAGGAGGGCTAAAAGCAACCGGATATCGAAATCCAATTGATACAGATGGAATACTACCCTATGGTTCCGGTCATCCGTAACACGTGTATGCTGCGATTGCATCCTCACTGTTTCACATGTCTCAGGTTCTGTACACAGAAGAAGAGGACAAGAAAGCCACACGGAATGAGACAATGAACAAATTAACAAGTAGTGAATATCCGTGGCGGTTATTTAAACGTCATTTGCAGAGAGCCCTAAACCCACCTCAACAACGTACGACAGAGTGGATTGGGTTGGTGGGAATCTCCTATAGGGTGGAAACCTATGAAGCGATCAGACGGGTACTACACAAGGAGATGATAAGATTGGTTTTCCAAAGAGGTCAAACGCTCCGTTCCTCACTAGTGCATTTGAAGGATCCACTTCCAAAAGATACGACAACCAATTGCGTTTATAAATTTAGTTGAAGAGACTGTGCGCATGTGTACATAGGCCAAACAGCGAGAGAACTACGCACTGAGATAACAGAACACGAAAGGTACGTTTCACCTCCACCAAAAAATGAGCCTTCATAAGAGGCCTTGCTAAAAGATTCGGCGGTAGCGGTACATGTGCTAGACTCGGAACACGCAATCGACTAAGACAATGTAGAGATCACTGGGAGGGGAGCAAGCATGATAGGCCAAGCATTAATTTCTGAGACGCTATGAATCGCCAAGTCCACTAATTACGTAAACAGAATTAACGACGTGGGACTGTCGAACGCGTGGCGGGCTGTCTTAACCCGGTCAGTCTGAGCAGCTTTGGCGGACGGACTCAGGTTGGAGCGGAAACGTCGATCTATCATCACTGAAGCCAAGAGCAGCATCATCGCTGACTCTCATGTGAATGACATATTACACGGATCAATTGGGGTAGTTTCATGCTCGTTGACCCTTTGAAACTATAACCACATTTTTCCACTGAACCTGGTTACCTCACACTATCATTCTTTTAATTATTATAAAATGCCAAATTAAAATCAGTACTAGTTCACCTGACCTGAAGAAGCTGTTGTTTCAAGGGTGAAACGTTGTTCATATGCAAGCTTATAGAAAACCGATTTGCATTCTAAAACTTTGGAAATTATGCCTCCCAGTCTTATTTCTACGGATCTGCGGCTCGACCCACCAGTGACTTCCTTGTAGGTTCACGTGTTTTGTCTGTGGTCCCATTCACAGGGACGCGGCAACCGCGACTCGAATGTCCCAACCTTGTAGGTCCATATTCGCCTCGCTTAAGAGAATTCGAACGCGAAACAACACATTCGACTAGGTTCATTGAACTGAACACCGCCGGCGCTAACTTACCTTGTTATTCGTTTACTTTTGTGAAGCGAAGACCAGACAAGCACTTCAGTTGGACCGAAGTGCAGGTTTCACGACAAACTAACCATATGCTCGACAATTGTCTATGCTCTCGTAAGGGGCTTTCGCTAACTTAGGCATTGGGCTTTCGAATTGCGTTCCATTAGTTGGGGACTGCCGCACCGATGACAAACTACTACTTGTTCGCCGTACCTCACCTACCATGGCCTCTGCTTAGGGCTATCTAACTCCGCAGCAACATATGTGTGTTCCACAGCTGATATTTCGGGTGCATCCGTATCGCTCGAAGCACTAATAGTGCTATGGCTCTTGGTCAACCATTCTAGTTGTCCGACTCATGCGCTACACTCTAGTCAGCATGCTGTCGCATACTCATCATATCGTTGTCGGTGAGGTGGCACTTCGATAAACTGGGGAGAAACTGACATTCGCCCTCTCCACTTTTTCTGCATCTCGGTGCTCGCCAACCCCGTATCGACCTTAAACGTTTTCCAAGTCACGTCTAACAATTATCGCTTACCCAGCTCTTCGTAGTGGATCATTGGAACCACCATTGCTTATTTCCGGACACGAAGCATTGGCAGTGGTTGTACGGTATAAGTTGCGTACCTGCGTACTTCCCCAATAGAGTGATCGACGGTCTCGATGTTACCCGTTCGTAGTTGGCGCGATATTCTAGTTACTTATACTATGTACTTAAGATATGCACAACTAATTTTGCGCGCGGGAAACACACTGCACCTTCCTCACACTGTCATTAACCCTCACTTGCCTTGTGCCTTGGAGACTTGTTAGCTTCCTTTGGATCACTATTAGAACGAGAATTATCATCAACGGTGGGGCTACCCTATGGCTCGCCTCAAAATCACACGGGTATCTGCTATCTCCCGAACACCGGCCTTGTTTAAGCGCTTGGGTTTGAGACCCTTTCTTGACAGCTGGTCTTGGCACGACACTCGCGACTATGTTTCAGGTACTAACTCAAAGTGAACTAGACTACCAAGTTTATTGTCTTTCCTGGTTTTACTTGTACATCATTACGCATACATGCTATTCATAACTGTACCCCACTTATTTCAACTTACTCGGCAGGCAACAACATAAGCACCGCCAGCGTTGTTGGTTCCGCTCTGGCACCGTTTAGAGATGTCGGTCTATGACTCTGAGGCGCTCCCTCATAATTTCCACCTTTTGGCTTCTTGTTGATGCTATAGTTCCTAATTACTTGTCATGTGTAGCTTTTGACTACGATCAACCCGCACCCTCCCCCTGGAAAGCCCAACATCTAGCTTTGTTCTGCTGTTCTTGTTTTCGACAGTCGTCGGCCACCCAAACTGCGCCCCGACTATTCAAAACTCGGTACTGACCATCCCTTTTCGTCTCCGTGGGCCGAACTTGTCGCGCAATACGTTGAAAAAGAGGACGGTGCACACCCTTTTGTTATACGAGATCCAACGTTTTTGTGTTTGGTTGTTGCGCGAATGCTTTCAGGGGATATCCGGGCACGATTGACTGTGGAGCAGCTGAAGATCTACCAACCCTGCTTACCCAGAGCTTTGGTCTTGGTAAGTTCTCGAGAGGCGTTTTGATGTGATATTAATGGAGTATTTGACCCCCTCTCGATCCATCTCTTATTTTGGTTTTACAGGTTCGAATTGAGGCAATCGGCCGTGGCATCCCCACTCCCTGTGCGATTCTGTACGCCCCCAAACATAAGGATGATTTGGCACGCCCAAACCTCGAATGGTCCTCAGTCACGCCTAATTCGAGACTCATTCTGGGCTACGTAAGGACTGGGGACTTTAACCATTCCGTCGGGCGAGGCACGGGTCTCGGCTTCATAAGCCTGGCTGCGCTTGTCATCGCGATGCATGAGTCTGGCACAGCTTCTTTACCTCGCGGTCTCGGACGTGTGTTGATGAAGAACCCTCGTACTACTCGGTTGAGACCAGTTGATATCAACGTGGTCCTTTGAGACCTCCAAGAGCGACGTAGTAGTATTGTTCATACCATACCCCTGTACTTCTGTATACATTTGGAAGAATTTGTCCAACCTGTATCATATGGATATCATATGCTTGTCTTCCATTTTCTTATTTGCTTATGTGAACCAGAGTAGCTAATCTTAGCAGTTAGCCCACGGAGGAAAATTAAACTTTTTATAACGAACTCTGCAAGTTGTCTCTGTGCACCCAACACTTTGACTAACGGTATTGGCATGCCGGTGCGTTTCACTGGCAGCGGCAGACCACGTTCTTGTGGAAACTCCCCACCGGTGCAACTAGCCATATAATAGACGACAACAATGCTACCAATAGGTATTCATTGGGTGCATGTGATAACTTTGCTCGGAACACCTGGGCTCCGCAGCCATTCTATCGATCGGTCAACCACGATGACGTGTGCCCCATCAAGTGGTTGTGGTACAGCGCTCAACTTGTCCCTCTAACAGCAACCTTTCATAATAACGTACGTGCTAAACCCTCGCTATCGGTCAGTTCTGTTTGGGAAGTGATGTGGAATAAAGCAGTCGTTAGGCAACGACGAAAAACCTTGATAGTTCGTACTGGCAGTTGGGGCATTGATTCGCTTGCCGAACTTGGAGATTTTGTTGCGGATCCTACGTCAACAAGCGTCGTGCCATCTTCAATGCTTACTGGCGAAAAGCACATTAGCAATAGCTGAGCTTCAGAGAAAACCAGTGAAGGATGCTGACGGCTATAGGATTGACCTCTATACACAATTCGGACGCTCTTAGCCACGCTCCATTCGGATTGACTATACGTTGTTGCGCTCAATTTCTCGAACGGTTCTCATTAGTTGAAACGCAGCTTCTTACAACGTAGTCCCATTGGTGAATGCTCCCAATTAAGCAGGCTGTTCTGTTCCTTATTCCCAAGATACGGTTTTCAATTCGCACAACTTCGTTCCCTATACAATTCCACAGGTAAGTTGGTGAATAGTGCGAGGAAGTTGATTTGTTTACCAATCAAAATAGTTTCATACTCACTCAAGTTGGTGTGCCAATAGACACCAATGTATCGGGCGTGTTTGGACGAACAACCTCGTGTGGCTGCCTAATTGGTCAACTGTCGTCAGGCCTTGGGGTTGTGGAGGAATCGATAAAGGAGAATACTCAGTCAGTCAGGTTTACCTCACATATAAGATATCCTGACGCGCCTTAGGGTCGGACGACCGTAGATCGCGAGGTACGCCGAAGTGTATGTGTACGTAGATTCCGATCGTGAATCAAGCAGGCAGCGATGCGCACAATCACAACAATCCAGTGGCAACCAAGGGAGAACCACGGAAGACGAGATCGAAACCCATCGTTATGTATACATAGTTAATTATAACAAAGTTGTACAACAACTGCAGTGAAATAGGTAGGCGTGAAAATAAAAAAATAAGCAAATTATTTACAGTCGCTACATGATTCCCCCTAGATCTTGCACTAAGGAAACGCTCGACAAGGTACCTACGGAACGTACTGAGCAAGCTTATGTGGAAGGAAAACAGCATGACCAGAACGTGTGTGTGTTTATGTGGAGCTGCGTGTAGTCGGAGGGCACAGGGGACTCGGTGTACTGGCGTCAGTGTGTTGTTGGGTAGGGGGTAATGAGTTAGGGGCGGGAGTATTCTGAGGGAAGGAAACGGGGTCTGTACTGTCGACTGTAAGTTCAACGTAAGCTGGTTTGAGTCGGTCCATGCTCACGGATTCTTTTGATCCATTCTTATTCAACGCAAAATACTTGGGTTTCCGTGATAAGACTTGGTACGGGCCTTCATAGGACGGAGTTAAAGGTCTTCGAACGGCGTCGACGCGGATGAAAACAAGCGGACACTTGTGCAAATCGGGTTGGATTTGCTGTTTTCGTATGTCAGGCCACGTAGACGTTGGTCGAATGGATCGAAAACGGTGTTTGAGGCGTTAAGCGTACGAGAAGGGGTCTAGTTCTCCGGTGGTGCAAGAGTCCAGTACCATCTCACCAGGTAGACTGAGGGTCGAGCCGAAAACGAGTTCTGCAGGGCAGCACCCAATGTCCTCTTTGATGGTATTTCGAATGCCAAGGATGATCGCAGGGAGACACTCAGACCAGCGTGAATCGGATGAACTAGCCATAATGGCAGCTTTTAATTGTCGATGAAAGCGCTCAACGCGACCGTTGGCAGCGGGGTAGTAGGCGGTTGTTTTTATCTGAGTACAGCCTAATAAACGACTCAGATCACGGAACAGGGTGGAACAGAACTGAGTCCCTCTGTCGTTAGTGATGGTGGATGGAACACCAAACAGCGAAATCCAAGATTAGACAAAAGCACGGGAAACAGATTCGGTAGATATATCACGTGAAGGAACAGCTTGTGGCCAACGGGTAAAGCGATCAACACATGTTAGAAGATGAGGAAAACCGTTGGAAGGAGGTACAGCGCCAACAGTATCTACTTGAAAGTGTCTAAAACGTGCGTCATGGAGTGCAAATGTACCTGAGGTAGTGACTGTGTGACGATGAACTTTACTGGTTTGGCAAATAAGATAATGTTTAGCCCAATGTCTAATGTCTGAACTCATAGTAGGCCAGAGGAATCAGTCGGTAATGCACATTCCGGTGGAACAAATACTCGGGTGTAAAAGACCATGGAAATGATCAAAAACTGCTCGACGAAATGATCGTGAGACAAAGAGTCTAGGCTTACTGGTTGAAAGGTCACAATAAGCTCCTATGTCAGTTAAGTACGAGCAACTGTGTGACTTTCAATGAGGCGTTGGATCGAAGTTGGACAAGCTCAGGCTCATTGTTTTGAGCAGCCGCTATACTCTCCAGGTCGATGGGTGTCGATGACAATTGATTTATGTGAGCGCGGGATAATGCATCGGCAACAGCGTTGTTAGGACCGTCGATCTTACGGTCATTAACACAGAACGGCGAAAGATAATCCAGATGTTTCTTTTCTCGGGGTAACGGTCCGAGGCAGAACGGAAAGCGTACATCAGTGACTTGTGATCTATCAAGAATATGAAACCACGTCCTCCTAAAAGGTGACTGAAATGTTTCATGGCGGGAATTTCATGACCAAAGCTTCTATACCTGACCTGAGCAGTTTGTAACTTCCGTGAGAAACAGGGCAGTGGTTGAATTTCGTTATTAACTAACTGTTGCAAAGCCGCACCGGCAGTGGAACTTGAAGCATCCGTCTTAAGGACAAGTGTAGCGTCCTCAGTGGTGTTCAAGTGATGGAGAGATGTGACCGCTAAACTTCTGCTTGACGGCCGTGAAAGTGGCCTCGACTTCTGGGGTTATCGTTGAAGTCTTCGTGTTTCCTTTCAGTAAGTCGGTAAGCGGGTGAAGTAAATCAGCACCGTTGGGAATGAATCTGCCGTAGTAGTTGCTCATACCGAGAAATCGACGTAGGCTTCGGACAGATTGAGGCGTCGGATAGTCAAGCATCGCTTGGGATTTATCCGGGAGAGGTTTAATACCTTCGCCATCGATCCTGTGACCGAGAAATTCGATGGCGGGCTGACCTAATATACATTTGTCTGGGTTGATGGTTATACCGTGGTTTTCAAAGCGTTCGAATACCATCCGGAGGTGTGATAAATGCACGTCAGGTGTGACGCTTGCGATCAAAACATCGTCAATGTAAACGTAGACGAAATCAAGGCCACGGAGGACCTGATCCATAAAGCGTTGGAAAGACTGTGCTGCGTTTCGGAGGCCGAAAGGCATGAGAAGAAATTCGTAAAGGCCAAATGGAGTGGTCACAGCAGTTTGTGCGATGTCTTCCTCCGCCATTGTGATTTGATGGTAAGCTAAGACTAGGTCGAGTTTGGTAAAGATTAACTGTCCGGCTAGTCCAAGAGCGAAATCGTGGATATGGGGGATAGGATATCTATCCGGACCGGTGACGTTGTTGAGAGCATTGTAGTCACCGCATGGTCGTTAATCGCCTGACTTTTTAGACACCAGATGGAGAGGTGATGCCCAGCAGCTGTTTGAAGGACGAACGATGTCCAGATCAAGCATGTGTTGGAATTCATTTTTAGCTGCCTGAAGTTTGTCTGGGCGCAAGCGTCGAGGTTTAACAGTTACTGGCGGACCGGTTGTAACGATGTGATGGTGTACATCGTGTTTAGGGTCGGAAGTATCGTTACTTGCTCGAATTAGGGACGGAAATTGTCGGAGCAATGAACAATACTGTGAGTCGTCAGGTATGAGAATGCGAAGCCCGATAGAATTAACTGAAGCAAGTTTTCAGGGTATGCTTAAAGACGTAGTCTCGTCTCGTAATTTCCAACAACGTAGGTCGACCATCAGCCCGAACTTGTTGAGCAAGTGGATTCCGCTGATGGGCTTTTGCACATTGGCGGTGGTAAAAATGAACGAGAAACTACGCCATGGTCCCAGACACAAAGTAAGTCATTTCTGACCGTAGGTCGCGATTTTAGTCGGATTAGCTGCCGTAAGCATTGGACCAGTTGGTTGCAGGGGGTGTTTTTCCAGAGAACGGGGGAGAACGCTGACTTCTGCACCAGTATCAACCAAGAAATGAAGTCTGGTTGTGGAGTCAAATACGTACAACAGGCGACTACTAACCTGGCCAGCGACAGTCGCCGCCATTACTGGCTGGCCATGTGGTTTCCCGATGTATGAGTTGAAAAGGCTTTATGGTGTTTACACCCTGGGCGGCAGTTACACGCTGCGTCTCCGAAGCGGTGGTGATAATAACAACAGCGGTGCGACTGTCGTGTACGAAAGTTGCTAGAACATCTGGCTCGAGAAATGGATCGTCGCGAAGGAACGCGGTCACGTCTGAGGCGGGACAAGGTGAGCTCTAAGTTAGAAAGTCTCTCGTTGATTGTATCAAGTAGCGTGGTTCCGGAGGTGTTGCCTGAGCTAGTCTCAGTGAGGTGGGATGCCGACGTTTCAATGAAGCGTTCGTGAACTTCTTCGGCAGCTTCCGCCAATTTGTCTAGCGGAAGATCGTCGGCGAGTACAGCTAAAATAGCTGTCGTATTCGCGGGAAGACAAATACTATATAATTGGCGGGAAACGGAACCATCCAGTATGGAAGAACCGGTGAGGGAACGCATGTGTCGGAGTAGCTGAGACGGCGTTCTATCTCCAAGCTCAACGCCAGAGAGTAACTTCTGAAG